CTTGCTGCTGAGTCTGAGTCTGAACTTCGCCCGTTACATCAACCTCAATCCTCCTGCCTTTGAAAAGATTCTCTCTCTCTATGCCTTTCCGATCTGCTACCCAGCAACAATGCTTCAATTAATGGCGAGGCCGAGGGACAGTCCGTCTTTCAATCAAACTTGTCCGTCGAGTGTCCGTGGCTTGACGCACCGTCTATTAAGCCCGATGCCAATTTTCCCTCGACAACGTGACGGAATCGTGGCTGAACATTGCTGAGGCGTTGTCCTTCTCGTCGTCGTTGGGTTTTATTAGAAATGCCAGGGCTGCAGCGCTGAAGGGTGGTGCAAGGTCTCGTTTGCGGCGTCCATCGTCTCTCCACGCTGAACATCAACGCGTCACGGCAAATATAGCCATCATTCAGCCTCAAAACCGGCAAAGAACTGCACGAAGTTGTTAGTACGTTCTCTCTCCCTCGATCACGAATTCTGACGCACAGACCCCCATTTTAGCCCGATATAACATCCGAACGGTTACCAAACAGTCCCCACGACTTAAGGGAAGACTTTCCAGTGCAGTGTTCTGTATGCCTCTTGAGTACGTGAGTTTGCAGAAAGAGATGGTCATATCGATCGGGCTGACAGTAAAACTTCCTTTTTCACAGATCATCTATTCTCTCTTCAAAACTCTCCCCTGACTACCCTGGCGTATGGTCCCAACGACACTGCCATTAATATTGGCAGTGCCAGCTTAAATACAATGCACGGCGCACGGTGACGCAGTGGCAGCGTGTTCTGTCCATCACATGACGCCAAGATGATCGATAATTCCAATTCGATTGGTGGCGGTGGTAGTCGACTCTTTCGCCTCTTAAAAACATTGATCCTTTGATTGAGGTGGAAGGAACCGCGTTCTGGTTCAACCGTCTTTCGTTAGAGAAGGCCGACATCTCGAATTCCGCTTCAAGCATGCCTGGTCATGGACCCTCTGACTGGATCCGCAAGGAACAACGTCAGCTCAAGCACATGTCGACTGAGCTCATCAAGGCCGCAACGAGTAAAGCACCCTCTCCCGCGCCAGGCTCCTTATCCTCCTCACCGGCGCCCATTTACGATTTTGCGTGGGACTTTGTCGTTCCAGAGGCGCTGGCGGAAGGCACAACCATGACAAAGATCTCGGAGAAAAAGAAGCGGCGCGTCCTATTTCAGCTGGATCCCGACGAGGGCCGTATCCTCTACAAGTCAAAGAAGGCGGGTATCGGTGCGTGGCTCTTTCCTCAACGCTATAATGCTTTGCTGAAATTTCTTGACAGTTGCGCTGGAGACGATCAAGGAGATCCGCTCTGGCCCCGCTGCGCGGTATCATCGACAGCAGTTCGCATACCCCGAGGACGCAGAGGCACGGTGGCTCACCCTTATCTACATCCTCGACGGCGCGTACAAGACGCTGCATATTCTGGCCGACACACCGGAGGTCTTTAGAATGTGGGACGCCTCTGTGCGCAAGCTGGTTGCGATTCGGCAGGGGTTGATGGCAGGAGTGGGCGACGTCGAGATGCGAGAAGCGGTCTGGGAACGCCAGTACTGGAAGGGGGCGGACATCGAGCGCGATAATCGGCTGAGCTTCGAAGAGGTCGAGAAGCTGTGTAGACGGCTGAATGCGGCACAGGCAACACCGCAGCTGAGGTCCTTGTTTAATGTGCGTGTCGACGGATATCCATTTTTTTACAGATTTTTTACAGCGCGCTCATTCGATGATAGAGTGCAGACGTGACAAACAAGGGATACTTGGAATTTGCCGAATTCCAGGTTTTCGTCAAGGCGTTGAAGCGACGCCCGGAGATTGAAGACATTTATATGGACCTGCAGAAGGCGAACGGCGGCCAGTTTGATTTTATGGCCTTTGAGAAATTCATGCGCGGAACACAGCACGTGCGTTTTAATTTCAGTCCCGGTATGCCTGCTCCAACTGACATCGTGCAGTCTCGTTTGAGTCAAAACGAGCTTGAGGCTGTTTTCGCAAGGTACTCTACGCCAGCGTCCCCTTCCCCTGATACCCCACCAGTAGTCGATACCACATCAAAGGAACCGATCGCAGACCTTTCACTCGAGGACAAAACCTCTGCAACCCTTAGCCTCCAAGGGTTTTCCTCATTCCTCCTCTCGACAGACAACGCCGTCTTTTCGGACAAAGATCGCGAGATTTGTCAGGACATGACTCGTCCCATATCAGAGTACTTTATCTCATCTTCGCACAATACCTACCTTGTTGGCCATCAGCTCGTCGGCGTCAGTACTGTCGAGGGCTACATCCGTGCGCTCCTCCATAGCTGTCGCAGCGTCGAACGTGCGTTCCCATTTCATCCATCATCCGAGTATACCTCTTATCTGAATGGCAACTAGTGGACATATACGACGGCGACACCGAGCCTGTCATCTTCCACGGCAAGACACTTACTTCTAAGGTCTCTGTCCGTGATGTCTGCAATGCCATTGCTAAATACGCTTTCGTCACGTCGCCATATCCGGTTCTCATCTCCGCCGAGGTGCACTGTGGTGTCCAGCAGCAGGACGTGCTCGTCGACATCATGCTCGAGGCGTTCGGCGAAGCGCTTATTCAGGCTCCCCCTGAGGGCCGCCCCAGGATTAACTACCTTCCAAGTCCTGAAGATCTGAAAGGTAAAGTGCTTGTCAAGGTGTGTTTCCAGTATGACGTCGTATTGTTTCGTTTCACATTTACCGATGTCTAGGCCAAAAACCTCTATGTTGTCGCCCAGCTTGAAGCCCTCCGCACAAAAAAGGTCGCTGCTACCAGCGCGGAGAAGTCTCGTGTCCTCGAACTTGAAGCCGCCCTTGATTCGTCTGATGACGAGTCCAGCAACGACGCTAGCGCGGATGGTGGCATCCGCGACGAGATCAAGACCGGGCTCGTAGAGCTCAAGGATAAGTGGCGACGAGTCCGCGGGAAGGACAAGAATGAGCCCTCCACAGTGAACCATAAAGTGAAGATGTCCTTCGCGCTGATTTCGCTCATCGTGTATACCGTCGGGGTCAAATGCCGTGGGCTTGGCAAGGAGCTTGGATACGCACCGGAGCACATTTTCTCTTTGTCGGAGAACAAGGCGAATAACATGCTGAAGGCAAAGGTGACGATGCGGGAGCTGGTGCGGCATACGCGGACGCACATGGTGCGGGTATACCCCAAGGGCACGAGGGTGAACTCGACGAACTATGAGCCACATCGATTCTGGGCGGCAGGAGCGCAGCTGGTAGCAATCAATTGGCAGACTTTTGGTGCGAGGATGCTGTTCATGCTATGTTGAGCCGAGGAGAGTTGACAAAAGTCATGATAGACCCCGGATATACGATGAACCAAGCTATGTTTCAGCGAAATGGCCGTGCGGGGTATATTCTCAAGCCTGACGCGCTCCGCGGAGAGGACGAGGAACTTCTCTCTCGGCACACGAAGCATGTCCTCGAGGTAACCGTACGTGCACTCCACATTTCTTAATCTTCATTCAACTGAGTCTTGAAAAGATCATCTCTGCTCACCAGCTCCCGCGTCTACGGGATAGCACAGGGCAGGAGGTCGTCAATGAATCCATCATGGACCCTCTAGTTCAAGTCTCATTGCACATCCCCGATTGGACCCATTCGCCATTTGAACAGAGCACCACTTCGCTCGTGTCTCTACCTCTGCCCAGTAGCGCACCTGCATCTGCGTCGTCGCCCTTGACCCATGCGGCACGTTCACACACATTGTCGGAGCGCACGCGCGCTGTAAAAAACAATGGCTTCAATCCCGTGTGGTGCGAGACGCTGCATCTACCATTTGAGTTGTTCGGGGGGGTTAGCATGCGTGAGCTTGTGTTTGTACAGTTCTCGGTGCTGGAGAATTACCGGGAGAATGCCCAAAACGACCCAATTGCGGTGTATTGTACCCCGTTGGCTTCTTTAGAGCAAGGTACGTCCGACGTTGGATATATCCTGGTTTATTCTAACTGTTAGTGCGCAGGGTATAGGCATCTACCATTGCATGATGCGCAGCTTTCGCAGTATCTGTTTTCGACGCTGTTGGTGCAGGTACAGATCCGCGATGTCGAGTAAGTAGTCTGGCACTTTTTTTTGTCTACGTTGGGATTTTGCCCACCCCCCCATATTCTACCCACATCCAGCCCATTACCATCACAATGCCAAATGTATCACCTAATTTACTTATGCATGGAGACCTCAAGTGATCCTCGCCAGATGCGCCAGATGCACGAGAGTCCAAACTCTTGTGTGACATCTTCGGTAATTCCTGCACCGTGTCTTCTATCAAGTCTGAACAATTCTGAACAATCATCTATGTATGAGCAATGTGTCTCTTCCCATGTCGCTTCTGTAAGGATCTAGTCCTTCTTAGCGGAGCAGAACGTCACAATTTCTCGCAACTCAGCGGCAGCGTCCCTTCTCTGCGGCAGCCAGCCCCCACAAATTCAGGATAGGACCACTCGGAATGCATTTGTTGTCCAGGAGCCACCGGGTTCTCATATACTTATGCTGCATGCAGTCCCGTGTTAGCTATCTGCTGGGCTCATAACTGGACATCAGTAATTCACCTATACCTCTCATCATGTTCCATTCTGCCACTCTGGCACATCGCATACTTGCGCGCTTTCTTCTCATCTTGCTGGCTCCCTGTCATCTGCCTGGTTGTGTACTGATTAGATGCCGTTTTGCTCATCTGCATCCACTTCATGTTTGTTTACAGGAGCTTATACCATCTGTCGCATCTCTTTGCGCCACAGCTTACACTATAAAGGGCTCAGCTGAGAATTGGACGCAGGACCTCCTCCATGCTTACGTCCGAGTCGCAACGACGTGGAACGCACTTCGATTTTGCTTACAGGAACTTAGTTAGCAATAATCAATCTGCCGCATGTACTTGCGCCACAGCTTACAGCAGCTGGGAATTGAACCTTTTGTTCTCCTCATCGTACTAATTGACCAGTCTTCTATAGCCACTTCCATGCTCTATACAAGGCCACGTGGTCTAGTCGTATGATACCTCCTTCGGGTCTACCGGGCTATTAAAGCTCATCATGGAGGTGGTCCTGGGTTCAATTCCCAGCTTGGCCCTTTTTGCTTCCTTAACAGCCGTCTTTACGACCCTTTGTTGCTTTCTTCCTGTTTTCCAATGTTCCGAAAGCCCCACGATCTCCTTGGAGTGCTCATACCCGGGACTACTAGAACAGGACCCCTCCTCAACAGTAACTCATTGGTCACACTTTGAGCGTGAGCCACAAACGAAGCTGAGTTTCCAGCCTTCAGAATTCTATGTGGACTGTCCAAGGCGACGCACAAAGCAAGTTGGAGGTTCTCATGAGCACACCGAGCCCCAAGAGGTTTGCGTTTGAAATTCATTCGCTGGTAGAAAACAAATGATATTGGGACTCTTTATGTGGGGAAGTAACTCTTCAATGTAACTGCACTGAACCAGCATTGAAGTTTGATTGTTGTGGAAGCTTCAAGGCGAATCAGAATATTTCCCTTTCAGAGTCAGAATTCGCAGAAGCCTCACCTAAGGCCTCCAGGTAACTTGCCTCAAGATCACCACCAATCTTCACAATTGAAGCCAACAATGCGAAATTGAGGCATTACAAGATTGGTACATGTGCATGTAGAGTAAGACCCATAACTCATACGAGAGTTCACAGAAGAGAGATGAGAAAAAAAGTTGATATCCGACGTGTAATAATCTACTTAGTCTTGACGCTATCCAGTGCTTCAATAAAAATGTTATCCACGTCCTTCCAATGCGCCTTGGCAGTTCCACCCGCAGCGTATACGCGCTCCCTTTCTAACCAATACTCCAGCACCTCACCCACCCTCGAGGGCGTCCACACCCGCTCGCCCGTATCACCGTCCGTCTCCGCCGTGAACCACCTTGGACGATGGAGGGCTCTTTTCCCCTCCTCCCGAGCCTTCCGAATGGCCCGCTGCTTCTGTTCCTGCTCATTCTTTAGTTCATTCGCAAGCTCCCACTTGCCCAGCTCGAATGCACGCTGGTCCGGGCGGAGACGGCAGTCCGTGGGGCACAGGTACGGGCGAAGCGTCGCGTCAGGGCAGTCGTTCAGCGTGATGGCGAACGGCGTGAGGTTAAATGGGGAGCCTGGCACCTTCTCAGAGTTGCGCCATAGGACGAAGTGCTGTGGCCCAGAATTAGGGGAGGAGGTGCCGTCAACCTCGAGGTCTGGGTTGAGGATCCCGTGGCTGGCGCCCGCTGGACTGGCGATGAGCTGCGAGTTCCAGCGACCAGCAAGCTTGTATGCGATACGCCCGGAGGCGTCGGTTACCTCGCCTGCGATCTCGAAGGCGTCCTTACCTCTCCACCCACGGGGCTTGAAGGTCAGGATACACTGATCGCCGGTACGATGATTCGTGATCTAACGGCATCGGAACACCATCAGTACCGCAACGCAAGGAAGTGCAAATGAAAGAGAATACGTACGACCATATCACCGTAATGATCAATCGTTGGTGACCCAAGGATGAAGCCCGAGACATTCGTCGTAACCTTCTTCCAGCTGAAATGCTCAACGACCTTGCCATCCCCGTACTTTTTTGGCGCCTTTGGATAGCCGGGACCGCCTCTCTCCGTCGGGATGATGAGCTCTGCATGGGCGATACCCGTGGGCCTGATCTCGAACGACTTGCCCATGAACTTATTCTGCGCATCGACCTACATACCCGCAAATCAGCTTCGGAGATAGCACAGCAGCAGCAGGATGTCACACCTCCCCATAGTAGTGCCACGAAGGCGACTCGGCCCAGCACGCAGAAATTGGTGGGTGGTGGCTAACTTGCTCCGACACGTAACGGTACTCCTTGTCGAAACGCACGTACTCGAAGGTCTCGCTCTGCACAAGTTCATGGTGAGCCCAACGGAACAGACAGATAGGTCGAAGAGAACAGGACATACCAACATGGGATTGAAAGGCTTTGCGATACGCCCGATCGTAGATGAATAATTCGACATCGCAAACGCCGCTACGAACGCGAGACGCCTAAGCGGGTCCTTCTCGCGCGCCGCAGCGTCCACTACAATCGCAACATCAGCATCCAATCGTCACGGATGACAGAAAAGCAACTCACGGCACTCGGAAAACTCCATATCCTCCGCCATCCTCTGCAGCATGCTCGTGGGCTCATTAAAGAACACGGGGAAACTAATCTTCGTGAGGTCCTTCCCAATACTATGTTTGAGCACACTCCACAGGCTTGTGCTCGGGCGCTCCTCGTTCAGATCGAGACTTAAGCGCGGGTGTGCGTAGCCAGTGTACGGCGCGATGTCAAGGTTCAGGGGGCAGACAGCCTGTGACGGAGAGGAAGGCCGGTACGGGGACGCGACGAGTGCTTCGGGCACGATGAGGTTAGGGAGCGTGCCAGACTCGATGGCATCAAAGAACTCGTCCTCCTCATCAGTGTCGACATCATCGTCTTCGCCAGCGAAATGGTGTAACTCGTGCTTGGCAATGGTGATAGGCACGGGCACGGGCGCGTGTACGGGTGTGGGGGTGACGGTCTCCTGCGTCGATGAACGCTTGGGGGTAGGTTGTGTGGGAGGAAGTGGAGGCTCTGGTATCGCTGGCAGTGGAGGCTCTGGTGTTGCTGGTAGTGTCGCCTGAGCGGGCTTCACCGGCTGTGGCGACTTCGCAACAACCTCCTCCTTGCCCTCCTTTCTCTCTCTCCCGACCTCCGGGGCCAAATTGCCCGTGTCCCCACTCTCCCTCTTCTCCCTGCCCTCCTCCTGAACCGCCCACGGAATAACTGCCCCTGCATTCATCCCGGGCCGCTGCCTCACAGTCTCCCCAATATCGAAAAACCGACTCCCCCTTCTCCTGCTCCTCACCCGTAACTCCTTCTCCAAAGTCTCCCCCTCCCGGACAACCGTCGCAAAGCTCTCCTCCCAGAATGCTTGGCTCTTGCGCTCGCGCGCGAGCTGGCGGCGGTACCACGCCTCACGTGTGCGGGCTTGGGCGAGATAGTCAGATACTAGGGAGGAGGCGAGGTGAAAGGATTCTGCAAGGGCCACGGTGGGCGCTGGGATTCCGGTAGAAGTCGCAGAGGTCGAGGGGAGCGAGGTGGTCGTGATGGAGGCAGCGGGCGACGAAGCAGAAGCAAAAAGTTGCGCCGTCAGCTCCATCTGTGCCGCTACGCTATTGCCCAAAAGCTCAAATGCGCCTTCATGCGGTGGGTTTGCCGCTCCCCCATTATCCACACCCAAACCTGACCCGGACCAAGAGTCCCGATCACCTTCATCATCCCCATCGGCTTCCCCATCCTCCCTTGCCTCGATGTCATCCTCCCCTGCCACTCCGCCGGCGCCGTCACATGTAACTATCCCCGACAGATCGGGGCTCGCATCTCCCTTGGTGGCATCAACGTCCAATCGTGATCCCGAGGAACTTGGGAGCTGCGAAGTCGAGGAGGAAGGCCCGCGCCCCGCGCGTCGGAGCAGCGTCCCCGACAGCCGGGAGCGCGAGCTCTGGCTCTGGGACTCACTCTCTCCGCTGCGCCTCCTCCCTGATATCGTTCCTACCGGCCCAGACCCATACCCCCATGGCACCTCCCTGACACTGCCGACGCCGCTCGCCCTACTCCTCGCGCCGGCATCACTTTCCCGTCCGCTAAGCCCCTCCCGTCCACTGAGGCCCTCATTGTCTGTGGTGGCATTATCCCGCGCCTGCTGCGCTTGCGCCCACTCCACACTCCGTCTTAACGCTTTGACCCACCGCGCGGCTTCGACGGGATGGTTCGCCTTCATGTACCATTTGAGCTGCTGCGCGCCCGTGTGGGCGGTGTGCACCTCGAAGTGGAGAGATTTCTCTGGAGCGTATCATCAGCGTTGCCAATGATGTGCACAAAGCATGACCTGCGTACCGGATGAGGAGGCGTGCGCCTTGATGCGCGCAGTGCGCATGCTGATGGACCCGCGCGAGGCGATCGTTTCGTCCTCTTGGCGGCGGTAGTCTGTGGGCGGCGTCAGCGAAAAAACGGTGCTCAGAAAAACTCTTAACACTGACAGCTCAAAATACCGTTCTTTAGCACAAACCAGCGCGTATTGTACCCTTTAGCGACATTAGTGTACTTGTTGAGGTACCCCTTGAGGGAGGGCGGCTCGGTGGGCGCTACGTCCGTCTCGGGGTCGATGAGGGTTTGGTCGTGGTTCGCGACTAATACCATGCATCAACACAGTCCCACAAAAAACGCAAAGACCTGGCAGAGACTCACACTGCCTCAAAAAGACCCTGACCCTCTCATCACCCTTGTCTCCTCGCCTTCCCTCACCGGGAAGGCGCCCCACGCGGTCCCTCTGAAACACGTCAGCACCGGCACGTACAGCGAGCTCGATCAGCCGCAGGTCCTTCCGTCGTGCGGCTTCGTGGAGGAGGGAGAGACCAGAAGCGGGGTCCAGATATGTGAGGTCGAGGTGGCGGGCGCGCGGGGAGGTGAGGAGCGAGAGGAGCGTGGGAGGTGCAGAGGGAGATGGGGAGTCAATGTAGGCGCGCAGGAGGGAGCGGTATGATGCGTTAATTGAAGCATGCGAGTCTGGAGCGCGTAAATTCGAGTGAAGTTTCGAAAAAATGACGCGTACGCACCCTGAAAGATCTTGACAATCTCCCGCCCCTTTGCGACATCCAGCGGCGCTCGGCCCTGCAAATCCCGGCGCGTATCGTCAATACCATCCTGTTCGAGCAGCAGGTTGACTACATCAACGCGGCCCAAAAAGGCTGCGAGATGGATGGGCGTCGTCCCCGAGCCCGGGGGGTGGATTCCGTTCGGCGAGATGGCGCGGTGCGAGAGGAGAAAAGCAACGGTTTCAGCTGCGAGGCGATCTGTTAAACCGTAAACTTGAGGGTTGGAGTATACACGCACCTGAAGCACACCGCACGGCAAGATGCAGCGCGGCAGCGCCCGTGTCAATGTCGCCCTCACCAGTCTCAACCGACTTGCGCTTGTCCTTCCCGATCTCAGCGAGGAAAGGGTGGATCAGGGCCGGGTCACCTGTTCACCGAGTCATATGTAATTAGCAGAGCCGATAAGAAGACAAACGCACCGTTGCGCAATGCCTGCAG